CGTCTTCAAGTAACTTAAAGAAGTCCAGACGCTTTTCTTTGCAAGCTCCTTTGACTACGATGACCTGGATGACTGAGAACCTTCACAGACACTTACTGGCATCATTAAAACATTGCGTTCCATCCATACTGTAGTCAAATAATATTTATAATTGTTTTATGTTTTGTGTGTCAAACAGTGAAAGAGAACAAGATGGAAACTCAATCACAGCAGCAAACATACAAAAAATAAATCCACAAAAAACTGAAATAATTGAATGTTGTTTAAAATATCTTTTGCAGATGAATCATAAAATATTATTAAATTAGTTTTAATTCATTGATTTTGAACAAACCTTTCCTTAATGTGTCTGTTGAACCCTGTTTACTTTCTCTATGATGGAAAAAGAAAAGTGATGTCTGGACTGAAGCTAGGTCTAAAATATGGCTCACAGTGACAGTTTGACAGCTTCTGTTTGTCAGAGCTGTCGAGTGACTTGAGGACAGAAGAGGAAGCACATGATTAACCACAGAGCTGTCAGTCATGGAAAACATAAAGGCAACATGTCAGGATGTTTACAGCTACAAAACTACTAAATTATTAACCTAATCAAACTACAAAGAGTACACAGGTGAACAGAACAATAAAAATTATATTTACTGTCGTAAAGACACTTATGTAAAACTTGTGTCTTTCTTTACTTGTCTTATTAACCCTGCAGGGAAACTTTCATCAGAAACAGGAAACTGGAAACCTCAGAGCTGTTACTGACAATTACATGTGGGGGAAAAGCACTAAAAATAACACTATAAAAATCCCACAAAGCATAATAACTACAATGTGCTCATTCCTTAAAATATCTCTATATCTACACTATTTAAATATTTAAAGTCGCTAAATATTTAAATAGTAATGATATAGCAAAATTTGAAATACCTAAAGTACTTTGATTATTTCTATATCTCTCCTTGCTTTACTCTGTGGTGAACGAGACCACGTCACATGATACAGTCATGTGACGTGGTCTCCTTCAGTGGTTTCAGTTTTACGGATTTCTTCTTTTTTAATGTTGAACGATGAACAGTGATGAACGGTCAGTTCAGGAATCCTTTCAACAAAAGACTTTAATTGGCAAATAAGTTCAAACTTAGTTGTGGCACGAGGGCTTGATGTGAGCTTGAAAATCTTATTTAAAAACAATATATATCCCTGTAAGTCATGTGACTGTCCGTCACTCATAAATCTCCTAGAAGGAAACACCCACTTGAAGTGGGTGTTGTGGGTGTTATAGGCTCATAGCTTCTCTGTTAACAACCTGATCTGGGATCTGTAGAGCAATGAGAGATGCGTTCAGGAACATCTGCGATGCTCTTGTGGATTCTGCTGTTTGCCTGCCTTCTGTTGTTCGTGTGTACAGGTGAGACTTTACTCTTCTATTAAAGCCTCGTGTCCCTGTGACTGTGCTCTTTAACTGATTCACCTTTACTCTCACTGTAAACACGTACAACAAAATCAAGAGTTTGAAAGTCTTGACTTTGTCAGTGTTACAGTCAGGTGGGCTGTAGGCAGAGGTGATGATTACTACACTTTAGTGTCCACCTTAAAGTTTGCAGCGGATTTGCATTTTATTCTCACATTTTTGCTTTTTTGTGTTGTGTTTATTAATCACAAGTTTATCATCGTCATCATCCAATAACGTCTGTGATTGGTGCAGGCAGCAGGGCTCATTTTGAGTCATGTGACCTCATTTTAATGTGACGGTCTGAAGCAGATGAAACCAGAAACTGCTAGAATGAAAGTGTGAAAGCAAAAACACATCCTGTAATTATATGAGACTCTCTTTTTCTTATCTTTTAATAACTTAAAAAAATATTGTTTATTAGTTTATTTTTAAGCCTTCTAAATAAAACCCATTAAATAAACTTTCACCTGTTCGGGGTTACTAACTGGGATTGCTCATAATCTGGAGCTTTGGCCACGCCTACTAAGAGCCAGCTAGATGTGTCAGTGGTGTTCAATAAGAATTAAGATTAATGTTGCTTTGTACATTTTAAAAGTTGAAAAAATTCATTTTAAAATCCTTTAAAATATTTTTAAAAAGTCTGCAGAGACAAAGTGCCTCAAAACTGGATGAAACTCTGGATTTTTGCCTTGTATGCATCTTGTCTGTTTCCCTTAGTTACTCCTGGTGTTTACACTAAGCAGTCAGTGTTTCTTTAGATCCCACAGAGGTTAACGTGGAGCCTGGAAAAGATGCCGTTCTTCAGTGTTATCATCCAGCATATTCAGAGATTGCCGTGTTGGAGTGGCGCCGACCTGAGTTTGCGTCCAACGAGTATGTGTTCTTCTTCCGAAACGGGCGCTCGTATGAAAACTACCAGCACGAGTCCTTTAAAGGCCGAGTGGAGCTGAGAGCGCCGTCCATGAAGGATGGAGACGTTTCTGTAACTCTAAAGAACCTCAGCGTCGGTGACGCAGGAACATACCAGTGTCGGATTTTATTCACCAAAAGCACCGATGAGCTTAAGTGCTTCATCATGCTCAACATCACAGCTTCAGGTGAGGATAGTTGATAGAGGTGGAATTTATCTAACAGCCACTCAGCCTGATTGTACCACAGTGCTACAAAGTCCCCAGTGAAACCTGCACCTGCTGTCCTACATAACCTTTAATAACACAAAAGGTTATTAGGTCATAAACGAGCAGGCCATCATCAGATGATCTCATCTGATTCTTGTGCTTTCAAACTCACTTCCTGCTGAGCTGAGGCACATTCGGTTCAGTGTGATGAGACGGGAAAAGGATATCAACAAATACAAAAAAATTCAGCTTGGTTGATTTTATTTCTTCTCATGTGCCCCAAAGCCTCTGAACGAGCTGCTGACATGTTTTAAAGGGTGACAATACTAATGTAATAAGTACACAACTGTTACATTTGTCCTCACACTGCGTCTGCTCTGCAGGTGTCATGGATGAAGAGGATAAACAGATGTGGAGAGACAAGGACAGAGGGGATGAGGACATGTTTCCTTCAAATATAGATGATGTGTCTGTGTGTGCTGTGTTACTTTTTATTGTCATTGTTATTCTTGTTGTTCTAATTTACATAAGACAAAGGAACAAAGCAAAGTATCCCCCCACTTAAGTACATCATTAGTCATGGATACAAATTCTTCTTCGGTTTTACAAACGCGAACAATGTGCCATCACTGAAAGTTAGAAATGGTCCATTGAACAAAACTAAACAGCAGCCAGTATTTGAAGTGTTGTAGAAGTTGGGAAATAATCGTGTCGTGCCTGGTAGCTTCACAGCTATGGGGAGGTTATTATAAACATGTTAGCACAATGAAGCTGGAGGATGATGCTAACAAGTGTCCCCGATGGGTGGAAACAAATGAGTCATGTGGCAGGAAGAACAAACACCAAGTCTACCACGCAGGACTCAAAATTCTGTCCAGTTAATACTTTTTTTAAATACGTTTGCTGTAAATACATAAAAATGTTTTTTTGTTTTGTTTTTAAGGTGTGCCGTGACTGACTACATTTGTGAATTTCTGTTTCTTGGCACATTTATGTTTTCAGTATCAGACACAGTGGGCATTGCTACCACAAAACTTTGCAAAATCATATTCAAACATTTGATCATATGATATTCAAAAGGATGTGGAGGGCGTAAGTGTTCAGGCTTAATTAAATTTCAGTGAAATTTAGGAGCAACTGAGAGTTTCTCATTACTTTTAAGCCTGACAGGTTCAAATCCATCTGTAGAACATTTCTAATTTTTAAACAGCAGTAGTAGTTTCTCATGATTTTTTTTTTTTTTTTT